AATCTCGGGTATATTCAATCTTTCTATCTTATCGTACTTATATCAAAACCCCATTTGAAAAAGAAATAAAATGTTTTCAATGTGATAATGGAACGGAATATGATAATAGGCCCTTTCACAAGCTTTGTAAATTAAATGGTATGAGTTTTCACTTTTCTTGTCCTCATACATCTTCTCAAAATGGAAAGGATGAAAGGAAAATTCAAACAATTAATAATATTACTCGAACTCTTCTTGCCCATGCCTCTCTACCTCCTTCATTCTGGCACCATGCACTACAAATGGCCACGTATTTACTCAACATTCTTCCCAATAAAAAGCTTGCTTATCAAACACCCACAAAAATTCTTTATCAAAAGGATCTCTCTTATTCTCATCTTCGGATTTTTGGATGTTTATGCTATCCATTAATTCCATCCACCTCACGTAAAAAATTGCAAGCCAGATCATCACCTTGTGTTTTTTTGGGATATCCGACAAATCATAGAGGTTATAAATGTTACGACTTATCAAGTCGAAAAATAATCATTTCAAGGCATGTAACTTTTGATGAAAACACCTTTCCCTTTTCCAAATTACATGCTACTAATGTCTCCACTTATGAGTTTTTGGATGCAGGCCGGCCTATATCTTAACCCGTACTTATCTCACGGCCTAACTCCAACTCTTGGAGTCGAGGACCAAAATATATCACCTCTTCATTCTCCCATACAATCTCAGCAAAGTTCAGCGCATTTTCCCTCTCATGAGATAACCCACAACAATACACTTCTCCTACACCCGCAACACCATTAGGAAATAGATCATCACAGTCCAATCTTTCATCTCGGCCCACTGCATGCCTCGCCTCAACCCACACCTTCATCATCTCCAAACTCTCAGCCCACACCACCAACTCCACTAACCACCAATCAATCTACCCAAATAAGTCCACAAATAAATCACACTCATTCTCCTCAAATGACCACAAGAGCGCAACATGGAATTTTTAAACCTAGAAAACTCTTCAATCTTCACACCACTACTACGACCTCCATATCTCCCCTACCTATGAACCCAATACATGCTTTAAAAGACATAATTGGAACATTTCTATGAAGGATGAATACGATGCTTTAATTAAAAATAAGATGTGGGACTTAGTGCCCCGTCCATCCAATGCTAATATTATTCGAAGTTTGTGGATTTTCAGGCATAAAAAGAAATTTGATGGTTAATCTGAGCGGCACAAAGCCCGCCTTGTAGGAGATGGTGCAGGACAACAGACTGGCATAGACTGTGGTGAAACTTTTAGTCTGGTGGTGAAATCGACAACTCATTCGTACAGTACTTAGCATTGCAATATCTACCACAAGAATCCTTAGTTAGAGTGGGATTTCAACTCAGCACCTTTTGAGTGAGATTTTGAGAAGAGTTGCTCTTTGAGAGCACAGTACGATGAAAGTTGTAAACTGTGTTCGGGGGGGGGGGGGGGGGGGGAATTATTGTCCATCGTTGGCCTCTATGGTAGAATCAGTCGGGGACCTGAGAGGCTGTGGTTTACCCTGCGGCGGATGTCAGAGGTTCGAGTCCGCTTATCTCCAACTCCTGAACTGAGGCGATCCAAAGCTTTATGATAGGACCCAATTTTTCCGATTCGGCGTTTCGATCTATGGTTTCTCATTCATGGACGTTGATAAGATCCATCCATTTAGCAGCACCTTAGGATGGCATAGCCTTAAAAGTGAAGGGCGAGGTTCAAATGAGGAAAGGCTTACGGTGGATACCTAGGCACCCAGAGATGAAGAAGGGCATAGTAATCGACGAAATGCTTCGGGGAGTTGAAAATAAGCATAGATCTGGAGATTCCCAAATAGGGCAACCTTTCGAACTGCTGCTGAATCCATGGGCAGTCAAGAGACAACCTGGCGAACTGAAACATCTTAGTAGCCAGAGGAAAAGAAAGCAAAATATGAATACGCAACACAATTAAATATGAATATGCAACACAATTAATAATCATAAAATAATATGTTGGACTTTAAACTATAAGCTACCATGTATTAAAAAAATAGATACAAAATGATAGAAACTTAAAACCATAATCTACATGTATTTTTTTTCAACATTTAACACTACAAAATGTGAATATGCAACACAATTAATAAGAGAAATATAGATTATGGTTACAAGGTGCACAATGGATTGCTGAAATCTACCACCTGTGATGCTATTGAGAAATATAGATCACTCATTAGGACAGTGTAATGGTTACAAGGTTGGTTGATCATGTTTTGGAAGCTCAGATTATGTGTGGAAACGAATGCAGGAACAAAGGTTTTAATTCCTCTAATGTCGTTAACACCTTCTGATTCAAGATTGCCTTTCAAGTTCCAAAGAAAACAATTTTCTTTTATGCTATCATATGTCATGATAATAAATAAAAGTCAATGGCAAACACTATCACACGTGGGATTATTTTTTAGAAGGCCGGTCTTTAATCATGGTCAAATTTACGTAGAAGTCAAGAGTAAGTAAATTTAGGAGATTAAAAATTTTGATATGTGGGGATATTGTACCATCTGTAAGTACGATTAAAAATGTCGTATAGAAAGAAGTTTTCAATAATGGATAATCCAATTGCATCTATAATTTCTAATTAGTAATTAGAAAAAAAAATGAAAAAATAAGAACATAGTCTGGGGGCGGATGTAGCCAAGTGGATTAAGGCGGTGGATGTGAATCCACTATGCGCGGGTTCAATTCCCCGTCGTTCACCCATCGCATATATATGAAAAAAAAAAAACATAGATAGATATGTTACGATATGGATCTTAATTGTGTTATGTGACATCAATATTATTGGGCCGACCACGGGTCATTGAATTTTTTTCTACTAGCTTGATTGGGGGATGATTCTACGAGTTTTTTGCGATTCTTGCCACATGGGTCATTGAATTTTTGTCTACTACCTTGATTGGGGGAGATTCTACGAGTGTCTGCCATCTCCAAAAGCTCCAACTCGTTATCCCTTAGAACCCTGCCAAACAAAGAAGAAAAAAAAGTCAGTCACATACTCACATATAGGAGCATCATCTGTCCAAACTCCATTCACTTTAATCCGGTTCCTATTTCTTTTGATAATAGCGGAGTTGTGGTAAAATCGGGTGTTACAATCACCCACTCAAATCCACTTACATAATGATCATTTTTAATATACTAAAAAGTTCATTTTTAATACATTGAATGTTATTTTATTGTGTTGAAGGTCGTTCACTATTTGGTATAATATTTAAAAATGAACTTGCATATTAAAACAAACATTATACTAAAAATGAACGTTTATCTATGGTCCACATAATCCACATTGCAATGTGCATCATGAAGTAAAACTACGTCGTATCATTTCATTTGCATATACGTTATAGTATGGTTCTATTGTTTAGTTTCATTTTTTGCACGTTCAAGTATCATTTTAATTACACTCCAAGATCATTTAAATTTTAATTACATTATCATTTGATAATATATGTTATTACACTTATAACTTTGTTTATTAGTATCATTTTTCACATGCACTAAGGTGAAAAGGCCGCCGGAAATTAAAGGTTTGAAAGAAGAGAGGAAGATAGAGAAAGCAAAGGGCTGGGACTCCATTTGGGAGAACTAGAGTTGGTGACACAAACTCCTTCTCCCAACAACAATAATCATGAGTATACATCTATATTTTCCAGTATTCCACCCACTCATGATTGCCATTAATAATCTATCATAGGAGGAAAGAAATCACAATTACCATTTCATAAGAAACAAAATTTAACAATTGTACGTATAATTTTGAGATGTTTCAAACCTGCAAACCTCTACCTTCCTCCCACTCTTCAAATTTCTTTAATTTATTAATTTATGTAAAGAATTTAAGAACTGTGGCTCATAAGTTCTTATAGAAAATGTTGTACTGTATATATTATTATATGGTACTCTGTACAAGATTACAAAAATAAAAAAAAATTCAATGCCCATCGTCTTCTATTCTATAGGTTGGATTCCCCACTCTAAGGGACCCCCCCACCCCTCACACCGTAGTTCGTACTGCACTATAAAAAGATACAAATCACGATAATTCAATGACTCAATCAGCATGTAAGGGCTAATTGCACCCAAATACTGTCAACACTGAACAAGCGAGCCCGTATCTTCTATTCTGTTCTATTTAATATGCACCCACAATCCCTTGCTGGGTACGCCACGGTGCACAACAAAGATCAAGTAATAGCCTGGTGGTGCAAGCTTGCCAGAGGACGGCCGCCACGGCCGGAGATGGTATCCTTGGCCACAGAGGTGAGTCCCAAAATCAGCATCCTTTGGCCCTCAGAGTACCCGTGAGTGGTGAAAGGCGGCGGATACATGGTAACCTTAATACTAGACATGTCCGCCGCATCATCTAGCTTGAAATGGATATTGAAATTCTTTCCATAAACCAATTCCGTTTGGGAAAGCTTCTCCACGATCTGCGGCCGAAACTTTTGCAGTGCGGGGGCTAAGTACGGCGGCGAGAAATTTCTCGACGCGCATGTCGGTTGGGTATTTGGCTTTCATATCGTAGGAATCGTGGGTGTTACTTCCGCTACTAAGATCTTAGCGTCGGGCAAAACCGCAGAAGTGGAATGGTACATTCTGGCAATTTTTGTTGGTGTCAACTCAGTAAACCTTTCCCCTTTCGGTTTATCCGGGCTGTAAAGCACCGGAGTGAAATTTGGTTCCTCCGCCCCGTCCCAACCAGAGGTCCCCGGTTTTCGCGCCATTAATTATGAGGACATTCCCATCGGGGAGAATCAACATATCTCCCATAACCCTCCCCCGACGGCATCTCCTCAATTTCCCACTTGGCCCCTTCCTGATTCGCAACAATCCTGCCGCAATCCTTTAACGCCGGCGGAAATTGCCTCGGCGGATGCTCCGTGACCTTGAAGGCTTCGTGTGTATTGCCGCCGCAAACCAAAACCTCCGCCTTCACAAAATCATTCGCTTTGGTGAGTTTGAGAGGAAGAAGCGCGGATTGCCCGAGGCCGGGTAGTTCCGGGACCCCCTGGCAGCTTAGGAAGCTCCCGAATCGTCTTTCCGGTTCTAGGGTTGAAAATAATGGAGCGATCGTTGGCGAAGAGGAAGACATTGCCGTCGGGGAGGAGGTACACAAATGGATACAAATTATTCTCCAGAAAGCCGTCGGTGGTTTCCTCGAGCAGCCGAAGCGGAAATTGTTTGTTCGGGAATTTAAGCTGATCTGGCGGGACAATTTCATAGTTGTGAGATTTTCTTCCTCCCACCACGATAAAATCACCATTTTCCAAGACTTGTTGAGAAGCATACCTGCCAGTTCAGTTCAACGTAGTAAATTAAATTAAATTAAATTAAATTAATTATTATAAGATCAGAATTTGAAAATAATAATGCTTACCATCTGTTTGCAGAAAGTCCAACATCTTCCTTGAAATCGCATAAATCGCAGGGTTCCAGGATTCTAATTCCTCGAAAACCTTTGTCGTAGCCTCCGGTGCTTATCAATTTTCCGGTGCTCGACAGCCCTCCCGACGAGCACCATGTATTCAGGCTCAACTAAACATACATGCATAAAAACAATATAATTAATTAATTAATGAAATAAATTGTACCCAGGCCAGGCCAGTATTATATATATACCTTGAGTGTCTTGACAACTTTAGCGGTGTCGAGATCATAGGTAACGCCATGAGCCCAGCAGTCTTCACGGCCCTTATCATCTTTTCTGCACCACTTAGGATTCTGCATCAGTGCGGAGCGACCAAGATTAATGGCGTCATACCAGACAACCCTGTTGTTTGTCATCAACTGCATGTGCATGGCGGAAACACCCACGTTTTCAGTTACAGTTTGCCAGCTCGAGGCTGAAGGATTCATCTCCAAATCTGGTTTCCCATAGGCGCTGC